TGATCCTCAAGCTAGTTTCTTCCTCTCTCTCTGTCTCCACTCTCTTCTTCTACTACTCTTTAAAAAGGATAATTTACTGACAACACCAAATGCTGGTTGGGATGTGGAGCAACAGGAACCCTCATTCATTGCGGGTGGGAATGCAAAATGGTACAGCCACTTTGGGAAACAGTTTGGGAGTTTCCTATGAAAGTGAACATAGTCTTGTGTTTCTTGGTATTTACACAAAGGAGCTGAAGACACGTCTGCACAAAACCTGCACATGATGTTTTTGGCACTTGTATTCATCGTTGCCAAAATTCGGAAGCAATTAAGATGTCCTTCAGTAGGTCAATGGCTAAAGAAACAGTGATCCCTTCGGACTTGGAATATAGTTCTAAAACTATGTGGCATTGAGCTCTTAAAGCTGGTTTGTGAGCCATGAAAAGGCATGGAAGGCCCTTAAATACATATTACGGAAGAAAAGAAGCCAACCTGAAGAGCTGTGTACTATATGATCACAGCTATATGACATCCTGGAAAGGCAGAATTATTGAGAAGGTAACCAACAGCAGGGTCTGTCGGTTGGGATGGAAAGAAGGATGAGTATACACACTGCAGAGGATTTGCAGGCTGGTGACGCTGCTCCGTATGAGACTATGATGGTGGCTACATGTCATTATGGGTCTGTCAAAAGCCATCAAACATGTAAAACCTGAGTGAAATCTACTGCCAACTACTGACTGTGAGTGTTGATGATGTGTCTGTATGGGTTCACCGATGGTAACAATCATACCATCAGGTGTGGCAAGTTGATGGTGGGGGAGGCTGTGCATGTGTGGGGGTGAGGAGCACATTGGAACTCCGCGGGCTCTGCTCGAGTTTTCTGTGAACCTAAAACTTCTCTAAAACAATAAACACGATTTGAAAAAGGGAAACATCTTGTTAAAAAAATTCCCTTCAAGCAAGAAAACAATCAGAGAAAAAAAATGAATCAATGGAACTGTCACCACATACAGATCGTTGATCACCTGTCAGGAAAAATCTAAGCTGATCAATGGAAAAAAAGTATTGGAACTGATAAAAGTTCTTAATGTAGCTGAATATAAGATTAGCATGTAAACATCAATCACTTTCTGATCAGTCTGCTCTCCTCATGACATGACATCATGAAAAACAACGATGCCATTGGGAACAGAACAATAGCAGCAACAAAAATATGTTGAAATGTATGTAAGTGGGAATATGCAAAACTGTGAGGATACAATCAAGAAATTTTACTTACAGAGATATAAAAGGAATCACAGCATCACAGGCATACACTTTTCTCCTTAAGGGAATAGTAAAACACTTAAGGAAGCCCATTATTCTCAAATTATTTTATAAATCCAATCCAGCCCCACATTGGGCAGTTTTACCCTTTATTTTGAATTCTCAGGAGCTGTCTGGATCTTGCAGAGCAGAATGTGTTCATCTTTTGAGCGGTGTGAGCAGTGTGGAAGGGCCCAACTTTAGGGCCAGACCACTGGTTCAGCTCAGCTCTGGCACTTTCTACCTGCGGGGACATCAGCAAGTTACTAACCCTCTTGGCCTGGTGCCTCATCTGTCA